CGTCCCACCGGGCGTGCCAAATTGTTTCGCGCGTGTTAATTCGCTAACAATTAAAGAGGATCGGACGATTGTGTAAGGGACGAAACCTCTTGAGACAATGTCCCAAAAAGGGGTGTTCCTTTTATTGGCGATGAACTTTACAATTGGAAACGGAAAACAACGTGCCTCCAAGGGGCGCAAGCACACGAGTTACAGAAAAGGAAGTGTTTAAGTCTAAAAGCTAAAGGAATGAAAATTACATATTCTCTGTTCGAGAGTTTTGGATTCGGTCCTTTGCTTCTAAGTTCTTTCTCCCTTTTATACTTCATAGGCGATCCCTTTGTGATTAACTGCTCTAAAAAACTGCTTGATCGCCCTATAACTACCCACTTTCTTTGTAGTGGCCATTTTGTCATGAAACTGTCCTTTTAACTGCTGCCATTATCTTGCATCGTTCAACGGTTTTCGATTGAACCCCTTGAGTCGTGGAACGTGGTAAGGTTACTTTAGCAACTGCCTCAATAACTGCATTTCTTGATAATCATAATGCGTTATATTTGTTGATACCTTGGGCGACTTGAAGATTTGGGCGAGACTCCGGGCGACCGTATGCCACTCTATTCGTTCAGACTCTGAGCGACTTGCAAACTTGGGCAATGACGTTACCGCACTATTGGGCCCCTTATTTGGGCCTTCACCTTGATTCGTTCAATTGGATTTCGTTCTTTGGGCTATCTGATTTGGGGATCCTCCAATTGGGCTTTACTCTCTGGGCTGTTCGATTTGGGCTGGATTTTTATGTGTCAACAGTAATTATATATACATAGAGAGAGAGAGAGAGAGAGAGAGAGAGAGAGAGAGAGAGACTAGTATTCTCGCATATGTTACTCAAATTAGTACCTATGGTTCCTCTGCACTACTTTACTCTTCATGGCTGCTAAATTTTTGACCTTTCGGCTAAAGAAAAGAGTAGGAAATCACAGGGCTGGACTTGGAGCGATTTCTTTTAATGACGAAAAATTACCAGGAGAGAGTCTTGATGAAAACTGTTTCCAGCATGTTATTAAGATTAAAATACTGCAAAATTTTACTGCAGGAAGCACAAGAGATAGGAGAATGCTGAAGTTGTGACTACTTATGATGCACGAACACTTGCGAGGTCAATGTGTCTGTCTCCAACACGTGTCATGCCGTATCGTGTCCAACCTCGACAGTCAGACACTACTCGAGAACATGTAGCCAATACATGCCCTTGTCCAATTTGTTATATAATTTTTAAATTATCAACACTAAAAGGATACTTTAGAGACATCCCTAAGTAAGTTTTCGATATGCCATGTGGCCGTGTCCTATATAAAAATAAAGATACTGTATATAAATTTTAAATTTCAAAGAATTCAAAATCGACTTGTTTCCAATGCGTCATGTCCTACCTTTCCAATAGTTAGGCCCCATTTGAACCACATTAATAGAAGAATGAGAATGAAAAATATAGTCGTTATGGACCCCACACAAAGATGGAAAGTCAAATATGTTGGCTTGATATGATGGATAACGATCATATTTTTCATTTTAATGAACAAATAATGGGAAACAAACAGGGGCTTAAATGTTGCTGTCCGTGCATGTGTCTGTGCAACTTAGGTAACTATGAATCTTTAGATTGCATTTTATGTGATAGACAACAAATGCAGGCAGGCACATGTACAAACAGAAACAAATTTGACAAAGTCAGATTGTGAATCAAACATAAATTTTGGTTTGACTTGCCACTGATTGATGCAGGCTCTTTTTCTCTTTCAGCTTTGTCCTCTCCGCCCCCCCCCCCCCCCCCACACACACACACACACACACGCGTTATGACATGAAATCCATGGTTCAAGAAATAAGTACATACACCACGTTATAGATTTGAGGTACCTGTTGAGGAATTCTAGCTTTGCCTTCTTCATCAGCCTACTTTTTGTGTTGCAAATGTTACTAGCATTTACACCTGCATAAGATTAAGTTACAGCGTAAGAGAATCAGATTAACATATTCACAATGGAATATTTCATGCATTTTTTTTAAATTTATTTGCGTGAGTCAATTGAATCTCATGAAGATCATAATGAAATAAGTACCTCCATAGAAGGTTCTTTTCCTGCTTGAAGGTGGAATCTTCGTGCACACCTGAACTTGTTAGCTTTGTTTCCCTACAGAGCAAACTAGTGAGTATGTTCAAGTTTGGGCCAACAAGCCTTCATATATTTTATATATAGGCGTAACTTTTAGATATGAAAATTCAAACCGAAATGCCATATCTTGTGATGCAGTATAGCAATATGCTAATTATTTATTCTTACAAGAAAAACAATTTCACTAAGTATCGTTTAATACTATTTGAGGTTAACACGCCTCGAATCCCGCCTCACATGAGGCTTTCATAAATCTCCTTGAATCTCGCACCTTTAGTGCATTATGAGGCTTACGCCTTGGCTAGACTAAGGTGTTAGCCCGTTTATCTTATATTTTTAGGACACTTAACTATTGGCCTTCGCAAGTGGAGGTACAATATCTTGGTACCCGATCAAGCCTTTTTAAACATTGTCACTATGGACACAGTTTCACCATATGTATATCTACAGGATATATTTTCTCATTAAACAAGAATAAACTAGAAGTGAACACTGAATCGAAGTCATGGGAGAAGCTTCTTAAGATGAAAAGGCTACAAATAGTGACATGACATCCGACTACAAAAAAAGCTAAGAAACTTTGGATTTTACAGGAGATGACATCCTTCATACTGTAGAAAGTCAATTTGAATGGATATTTCATCTGACTAGAGCATTGTATACCCATAAAATTCAAAATGACAACAAGACCAAGTAACTGTATTGAATGTTCAGCAAGTTAAGAAACATCATACAAACTAAGTAAGAGAGGAGGCCTCCACACAACTGTATGGTCATTCCATCTGACCTTAAGATCATATATTCAAGTTTCAGAAACAGTCTTCTTGATTGTAGGGGTAAGGTTGCGACCATCTACCTTTCCAGAGCAATAGCAGGACCCTTATGATTGCTAAGTCCCTCTTTTTAGAGAAGCAAGATAACCATGGCTCAGATAAGGTTATGGATGTAGTATGTAAAGAAGAAATGGAAGAGAGGATAACGATCATACATGGAATGGCAAAGGTATCATACATAGAAGGCAAATTTTGAAAAAGAAATAATTACAATGGCTTACAAACAATTAACGAAGACAGGGTAAATTAAAGGAGCAAAGTACTATAATAAACATTAACAATCTGTATGGCTATAGGAAGAGGAAGCAGGAAAATAATGGGTAATGAGGTAAAAGAAAATCATATTCTATGTTTATTCTTGGAGAAAATGATCCTAGACCTTGTAAAAGGAAAGGCAAGGAAAGGATAGAAAAGGATACATACAAGAGACCTTGATAATACAAGACTTTATTGAGATGAGTCGTGATTAAGTAATTTTAGTTTTAATATACATCATAATCAGCTAAAATATCCACCCTTGTGATCTCAGCAAAATCAGCCTTCAGCAATTTGTGGCCATTAGCGTGTGCGATTGGCAGCACATTGTTAATCTGGTCAGAAGTAGTAGTCTACTCAGCTTTATTTCTGGTGACTAGCCCATAAAATTATAACTCAACCTCTATAACACTTCACTGAATCGAAATTCAATCACAGATTCTTAAAGAATCTCCCAATGAAAACGAGATTTTAAAGAGGAGAAACACTTCTGCATGCATTAACACACTCCAGCAGGACACTACAGTATTATTTTAGTCAAATAGAACACATGTTACACTTCCAATACAACACCAGAAAGTTACACACTTTACAAAGAATGATAATCACCAAATTACATTAAAGAAACACACAAACAAATGAAGAGACCTGCGACCTGTCAGTCAATATCCATAACAAATAAATATGTACTTTCTAGCATCTTCTTTTTGAAATAGCAGCCTTAATCGATCAATTGATTTTTGTTGTGCCTCTTCCATGTCTTTTGACTTTGCCTGCAGTTTAGCAACATTAGGTTAAATATAACACCAAAATGGGGGTACCTCACTAATACAGATGGAAAAAGGTGGGAAAATGGAAATCACCTTGAATAATTGTTTCCATTTAAAGGTTACTTTTTTCTTTCTCATCCTTTCAATCACAACATTGGTGTTTTGAGCTCCAAATTGGCGTTCGTAAAATTTCTTCCATAATTTATCTATTACTGAGCTAAGATCTGTACCCTGCAGTAACACAGAAAGATATTCATTATTCAACTTAATATTCAATTGTAAACCAAGATTTTATATTTCAAAATGGAAAAAAAGAAGTACAAATGTCTTACTTCTGCACAATTCTTGATGTGCACCAACTGATCAAGAGTACAGTGGGGTAAAATGCGCTCTAAAAGATGAAAGTCTGTTTCCCCAACATCTCCCAGATACCTAACATTATCTATGGCCACCTGAACACATAAGTCAACTAATGACGGAACTCTCTGCTTCCTCATTGTAATTCTGTAGCGTGTCCCGATATGCGTTTGAGCCTTTGTAGAACCATGATAACGGGCATTATAAAAGAGGGACAACAGAATCAGCGTATGAAATCTTTGTGACACTACAAAAATCAATCAGAAAGTCTCTTGCATAAAGATTGTTAGCAGTTTCTCTTTCTATTACAGGCTTCTGAAACGCATATGTGCATCAACAAGCATGGCCATATTTGTTGAGCATTTCAGATGCAGACGAAGATAACTCTCTTTATCGTCATTGCAATTCTTGGTATAGTGTTACTGTGTTGTGTTACGAAGTGGCTTTATGAAATGAAAACGAAAAAAAGGAACCAGAAGAATCAACCAGATGCTCCACAGCATAAAGCTCTGTAATAATTTCTATTTCTGCTGCATTTTTCCAAGTAGTTTAACTACAGTTCAGCATATATTCATATCATTTTTTAGATGCCATATTCAGCAACTGTATCCTATTAAATATCACTTCAATTTCTACCCCTATAGCACACGAAAGGAAGATAAACATAGTTTAAATTCTTTAATTCTTCAAAAAAGTAAGGGGTATAGCACCAAATCCACAAGATCACGGAACTTTATTACTGTATACAATTCACCTGCACAAACTCACGAATTAATCAATCTCCACAAAATCTCAAGAACTTCAACATGATCTCAAAGTCAAAACTCAGACCACCCAAGAATTCCATTCCAACAAATAAATTATATCACCCTATGTCATATCAACTAGTCCCGCAATAATTAAGGAGCTCACCTGGACTGATCGGATAGGGACACCGAGGACACGACGAAACAGGAAAAAGCGGACTTTATTTATACATACATCATATGCATCTTTGTAATTTATACAAATCTATATAAAATAGGATCCTGAAACAAACTTTAATTTTGCACCAAACTGGGATGATAAGTAATCACTTGTTCCACGGCCTATTAGGATAAAATTTTTGGATTTAATTATAATTGTTATTAAAGTTGTAAATTTAATTCTAGTTATAATTGAAGTTTTCGGAGTAACCATGTAATTAAATATAAATTAATTAGATTTAGACTTTAGTCGAAACTCTTATTTAAATTTCAATGGGAACTCCTGTATGGACTGTAATTGGAGTTGTCAATTATCATTATATATGGAATGAAACTTTTTTATCATTATAAATAAAAATTAGATGGAACAAAGAAGTCCTATAAAACAATAACACAATACAATAATTCTTCTATAAGTATTTGAATTTAAAGAGAGAGAAGGAGAGTGTGTTGTATAGTCTAGATTTTGAAGAACACCATAAGAAAATTTGGAAGATTTGAAACATCAAGTTCTTAAAATTAAAAGTTGGAATCTTCTATGGATACAAATTTACACAAAGTAATCAGCTAGTAAAATATGCATAATTATAATACTCATTAATTTTCATTATTAATGAACTGAATCGGATAATGTTTTTTCAGTATTCTGTTCTATCACTAAAGATAAATTATTTCCATATAGAAGTAATTCTTAAACAATAAGGATTAATCCCAGGATCAAGAAAGGTTGAGAGTCCTAATCGGAATTAGTCCCTTCTTTTGCAATAAATTCTCTGCTTTTAATCTTTAATGTTGATAATGCAGGAAAACTACATGCAGCTGCCTCTTGAATTCTCGTGGTCTCGCTATTCTCGTCCACGTTCTTCGACTCGTCCTATACAAGCTAGGGAAGAAACTGAGAGATCCCTCGTTTCAGCTGATAACACCGTTGTATCTGATGAGATAGTTGCTCCTCGTCCTATACAAGTAAGCAGAGACACTCAGAGAGGCTTGAGGCATTCAGATCAGACAGGGATTGGTTCAGATAATGATGATGCCATATTTGATGAATTTTTCCTGATGCTAAGAGGGCTTAGTAGAGAAATGAATTTCTCAGAAGAAACTAATTCAGATGATGACACTGTCATGTTTGATGAATTTGCTGATGAGATGGGAGAGCTCGATTGGTATGGCAGTAGTTCTCGTACTGGTTTCTCAGAAGAAACAATTCGACGCCACTTGAAAACAAGAATTTTGTTAACGTCAAAGTGAAGAATGCCATCGATGAAGGTCCCGAAGTTTGTGTAGTATGTCAATGTGAATATGAAGAAAATGAGAAAGTGGCAAGTCTTGTTTGTGGACATGAATATCATGTTGATTGCATAAAGAAGTGGCTGTCTCAAGATACTTTTTGTCCCATCTGTAAAGCCAAAGCGCTCTAGACGCAGAAACGGGTGCTCAAGGACAAATTCACTGGAAATTCCACGGATTAAATTTTTGTTAATTTTTCTTTAGTATTTATGCTTTTTCTTGTGTTCGGTCGACAATATTTATATAATACTATTGTTTAATAAAATTTTCGGTATTTGAAGTTGCTTCTTTTTAAATTTCTTCAGATCAAAGTTTATCTACATGGTCTCACTAAGAAGTAAGAATTATGTATCTATCAATATCAATAATTCAGGTATACTTAAAAGTAAATTATGAAACAATTTTGCTTCAGTTACATCAAGAAAAATAAGTTATTGAAGAAAAATACAATTTTATATCTGTAAATAATAAATACGAATAGACAAAAAAAAAAATTATATAGAGTTATTGCATTATAAATCTTCTCCTACATTAGCTGATACAAGCTTATATAATCACGGGTAAATTTATCAGATGTCACTAAACTTTAATTTGTGTCAAATGAATCAATCAACTTCAATTTAGTTTTAAATGTCACCGTCCGATCAAATTCTATCGCCTATTATCTTTTATACTAACAAACATTACTTGATTGGCAATGTAGCATAACTCATATATCCTCCTAATCAATACGCAACAGTCGACACCATAAAAATAAATTTAAAAAATGAATGTTATGTAAATATTAGATTAGAAGGTAAAAATTTTAACGATTTTATGTCGTGGGTTAGTAGTAAGTTGTCATGTCACACATAAATATGGGGAAGATTTGTTGTGGAATGACTGCAACTAATTATTTTCATCAATTTTGACCCATGTTTGGACTTCGTTATTAAAAAAAAATACATTTTTTCAAATTCATTTTCAACCATACATTCTTCCATAAAATAATATTCCTCATTTATTAACCAAACATTTAAAAACAAAAAAAAAATCACTATTTCAAAACACATTTTCTCCAAAAATTAAATTTAAATGGAACCCAAACAGGGGCTCGGTTACTTCAGGTGACAAAAGTGATGAAATTTAAAATTAAAATTTTGTGATGCAGATCAGTTATATATTTTTTCCCGTATGTGAAACCATTTAGCGTTCTGTTTTATCACTATATCTTGCCAAATTTAAGACTTCCGATCAGAAACTATTTTCCATATAAAAGAACTCCTTTGAAAGGATTCCACATAGTATGTCAATGTGAATACGAAGAAAATGAGGATGTGGGAAGTCCTGTGTGTGGACATGAATGCCATGTTGATTGCATAAAGAAGTGGCTCTCTTGAAAAACATTTTGCCCCATCTGCAAAGCCAAAGCATTCCCAATGCAAAAAGACAATGCAAGAAATGGGCACTAAAGTTCAAATTCGCTGGAGATTTTACGGATTACTCGTACTGAAATTTTTGCTATTAATTCTTGAGGACTTAATACTTTTTCTTGTGTTTGGTCGAGAAACATGTCCATATCTGATGTTGTTTCATGAAATTTTCAATATTGACATCGCTCCCTCCCTTATAAGCTACGGGGACTTTCTCCTTCGTCCTATATATATTACTCTTTTTCTCTCTGTGTTCGAAGATTTAACTCTCGTTTGGCTCCCATTAAATTAAAATTCATTTTTCTCTTTTTATTTTCAATCACACAATCTTCCATAAAATATTATTATACATAAATCGAAAACTTTTCCTTCTTTCTCAACCACTCATTTTTCAAAAAAATACTATTTTACCCTTTTTAATTTAAAAAATGGGAGCCAAACGAGGGCTTAGTGTTATTTCTATCAAAAATTAAGATATTATGAAAATAAAAGCATACACAAAAAATGTATAATTCAGGGAATTCAAGTGTTAAGCTGTAGAGTGACATTGCAGATCTAGCCACAACATTACAAGGACAAAGGATTGTTAAATTTCTGCAGATCATCTAGTAACCAAAGCATGATTCTGCACATGCTATTTATACTAAAATCTCAGTTATTCAATTCATTATTCGGTACATGGTACAATGCAGTTCCTTTATCATACAATTTATCAATTCAACAAAAGAAAATTTTGAATAGCAAGTGAAAAGTAACCCACTAGACATGCAGAGAAATACTAAGCGAACTTGATAGTAAAGATGTTACGATTGGAAGGGAGATGGGAATTTCCAGCGTGAGCTAAATAAAGAAAAGCTTGAAACCAAACTCCCCCTACTCAGAAAACATGGCATGAGGTATAGCTAGAACACTCAGTGTATTGAGGACAGGCAAGTAGACCAAGCACCAGATGCA